ATCTCGATTCGAACAATCATTTGTTCGAAAAATAGAGTACTGATGGAATATGATTTGCCGATCGATCTTTCGCCGCATCATTTTTTCGAATGTATATCTAAATATAATTTAGAGCGATATAGAGACGTATAGAGAGGGAATGGAGCGACGTAAATATTGTATATTCGATATATAGATAGATAGATAGATAGATAGACAGCGATGAGAGATGTAAGAAATGGAATAACGCGTTGAAGCAAATATTGTGATAGGGAGTGTATCGTTGTACGATTTGATGTATACAGTGAGATAATGGAGTAATGGATAAATATTGTGCGCAGGGAGTACTCGTTGTGTGGTAATATGGATAATGCATATAGAATGTGACGTAATGGAGTGATGTAATACACTTGAAGTAGTGTAATGTAATAATGTAGTATTATGATATCGATATATATATATATACACGTGTGTGGGTGGGTATAGTATATTGAAATAATGTAGCGTAATATTGTAATAGTATCATCACGCCGATATATCGTTGAAGTAACGCGAAATATTAGTATATTAACGAGGAAATATTATATCGATCGTATTAATGGAAAGAGTGGAAATAATTCGTTATGCTCAAACTTAATATAATTGTCCAAACGTAAGTATTTTCTCAATCGAAATAATTCGATCTGAACGAGGAATAGTTCCCCTCTCACTCTGATAACAATAGTCGAATGAACGTAGATATCCGTCTCAAAGGAGGAGATTCGAGGAGAGGAACGAGTGAGGTTCGAATCGCGATCGAGTTACCTTAAGACGGTGGAATTCGGCGTGAGAGATATCTCACGAAGGTAAAATTTGGTTCCATCTTCATCCGTATAGACGAGTTTGTGTACACATACACACATATATATATACCTTCATCTAATCGATATGCTAATTTATTCAATATTTCCATCCAAGGGGTCCAAACAAGGTGAAAGAAGCGGAAAAAGAATTTCTTTTCTAGGAATTTGATGAATATTTTCTCGACTCTCTCTCTCTCTCTCCTTCTCTGTTCCGAGATACTCTCATGAAAAAAAAAAAACGAAGTTATGCACACATCATAGCACAGGAAACGGGGAATTAAGTAGAGGAAACGAGACCGAGCACCGAGAGAGAACGGTTTAAAATTTAGAGTTCAGGCGGAAAAAAAGAAGGAGGGAGTGCGGCTAGGCGAGATAGCGAGGTCGTAAAATATATAGAGAAGGAGGGGGAAGAGGGGCCAACAACATTCTACGTGTGAATACAGGTTTGATTGGACGTCCCATGTCCAATAACGTTGTCGACGTTCACGTGATGTTGTCGCGGTGCTACCCTCGTAGAATGATGTTCATTCGATGATATCAGGAGACGGGTCGAATAGGAATGGATTACGAGGATGCTCATCCTCCTCCAGGTGGAAGCAAATCAATTTGTCCGATCAATGGCTCGGGCTACACGGGAATCACGTGAAACTACATGGCACGGATAATAATTGTAGCAATTACGTTTAACGCGCATAGTTCGTAATGGCGTCGAATTGCGCTTACTGGAATCAATTAACTTTCGTTTCTTATATGTATGAAAATAAAGTTGAAGATAAACTTCGAAGAAAATTGTAATTTGTAAAATTTTGTTCATTTATATAAGTTGTTGAAGTTATATAAGGTCTTTAATTAATGGGGGATGATAATGGCGTGTTGAATGGAAAATGATTAATAAGAAAGGAAAAAGATAACAATGGTAACAAGTTTCCATCATAGCAAGACTTTTTCTGTCCGTGTTCCTATTTTCTCTCGACAAGCGAATTGTTCTATCGAAACGCGTTGCGTTCGATAGGTGGAATTGTTATCTTGACGAAATAACGGGGATAAAACGGCTTAAAACGGTTCCGCGTTCGAACAATGGAAGGATTCCACTCGAAAACAAAAATAAAAGATCTAAACAACAATTTCGAAAGAGATGATAGGTTAGTTGTGATAAAAAATAAATAAATGAAACGGAGAGAAATTCATTCGAAATTGGGAACTATTTTAAATTTGAGAACAATGCACGATTAAACGTTCCGTCTTGAATATTATGAAAATTTCAAGAGCGTCCGAAGTCGTGGAAAATTTTCACAGACTCGTAAACGTGGTTATTTCCTCGATATAAAAGATATACTACGTCTTGATAACATTTCTACACGTATACAAGAATTTCATGGTAATCTCTGTTTCGATGGAAGCCTTTGAAAATGGTCTGCTATCTAGAACGTGAAGGATGCAATATCCTAAAAGAGGCAGGTCGACTTAAAGCTCGGTGTTTCATGCATGGTTGGGTTTGTGAGAGGAAATAAAAGAATTTCTTAGAATACGATTCTTCTTTCATTCTGCAACTTTCTATCTTATACATACATATATATATATTATCCCTTATATTTTTCTTTCTTTTTCATAAGAAATCGAACAATTGAATTTAAAGATGATGATATCTAAAGAGATATATCTGTCAAAATCTTCTATCTATTGTAACCTTATTTTAAGATTATAGAAATCTATAGTATCGACAAGGTATAAAATCAATGAAACATAGAATATAATAATGCATAGAATAGATTCATGATCTTATGGGATCTTGTGTCTATATTCTGAATTATCGATCATACGAAGATAGATGTGACATCTTGCGAGATTTTTGGACACGTGTCCTGAAATACCGACCTCGAAAAAGTATTTCTTACGCCATCTATTGATTTTACCATGTAAAATACATACCCTTCCATAGATTCAATCATATGAAAAGCTGCTATGTTAAATCACTCTTTTACAGCTTATTTAGCTGCAGTAAGTGATTCAGGAACCAGGAACATCCACAATTTTAGTGGAAAACGTTGAGTTGCTATTGGGCATATTATAAACGTGACGCTTTAAAAAACGCGATCATATTTAACGCAACACTACTTTTGTAAAAATGAATTTAACAAAAAATATCAACAAATTGAAAACTAATATACTTTATATTTAAAATTCAAACTGAAACAAATTTTAATATTAATAATTAATACTTTTTGAAAAAATTATATTTTATCACAATTAAAACTATTAAAAAAAATTGCAATATCTTTAAAACAAACGCGATTATTATTTTTCTCGTAACTCTAATTTAAACCGTAATTTATTTATCGCAACACTAATTAAAAAAACGCGATTTGCCCATGATAATGACTGTACGATGGAAATATATATCAGTAAATATAATTACTACTACTACTATTACTATTAATACTACTATTACTACTATTACTACTATTACTACTACTACTACTACTACTACTACTACTACTACTACTACTACTACTGTATTCTAAAACGAGCACAGTGACAAAATAATAATAATGGCTTCCCATTCTTTGGACCGAAACGAGATCCAAAAAATGAGAAACCATTCGTTGCAGCCCTCTTCGTGACAGTTTGTCGGGCCTCTTCGGTCTTCTTTCTTCGAGCGCGATGCCCGCTGAAACTTATTAACTAGGCTCGAGATTTCCTAATTCGCAAACAAAGGAGAAAAAAAAATAATAACAACAAAGGAAGAACACGTGGACGATCAACAATCGTAACGATCGTTGTCTGTACACGCGTAGAATCTCGAGCGCAACGTTCGTTTCGAGATCGCGGCCACGAAAATTCGAAAAATCGAATAGTCGGAAATGAGTGGCATTCCCCACTCGTTCCATTCTCGATTCTTCAAATTATATTTCCAGAAACAGATTGTCACGCGAGAACGCGCCTACCCGACCAGAGAGACCGTGACAACCTGCCCGGCCCTACCTACTTAACCAATTAACATTCACACCAGAAGTATACTACCTATCCTACCTAGTTCTATATTTAAAAAAGAATGGCGAAAAAACAGGCATACCAACACACTCATTCTACGATTCCCACGCATGACACTCGGGCGCAAAAAAGCCTACACTAGGGAAAGCGTCCCGGGACGCCTCCGACACCCGAGCTTGGCACACACACTCGCACACTCTAAGTTTACGTACCATTTTCCTGAAATCGACCGACGATGGCTAGTGACCATTGCGTTGAAACGCGATAAAAACACGCGTGTATCTTAATTTTAATAATAAAAGGATATATCTTTTAAGGAAAATTAAATTATTAGAATGATACGAGATTCGATACCATTGTAATTCAAGGATAATAGTGATATATGAATTGTTATCAAAAATTGTAACGAAGTTAATAATTGTGAATATTTAATTAAGGATTTTGAATTATGTAGAATGATGTACGAAACGACGCAATTCCACAGCCTAATCGTACACACACAATGTGGAAAATACGTCGTGCACGATACACTAACGCATCATCGGTCGCTGAAAAATTGTTATAAGCTTATAAACTATGCTCATCATGCCCACCGCCTCTCTCTCACCCAAGTAACACCTGGGCACGTGAGTGAGATCCTGGCAACGGACATGGAAGGGATTAAACCTGAAAATCCTGAGCTAAAAAGAGTATTAGTGCATTTATTTTACATCTAACGGGCTAATGTTTTTCAATTCTATATCTTATTTTATTTTAAATTTTAATAAATCTATTTTATATAATAAACTATTAGTAATTTTAATATTAAAGAAAAGTATATATAAAAAATGTGAATAAAGGCAATGATTTTACTTTATTTAATAATAATGATAATAAAAAACAAATAATTCTAAATGTTTATTAATGAAAATAACCTCAGATGATCTCTTAAGCAAAGCATAATTTAGAAAATACGAAAGCAATGTTCAAAACTTGATGCTTTGATTTTAAGATCTATCTGTCGCGAAATGTCTTCTTACATAAAACTTTATATATTTTTCAACAAAAATAATAGAATTTATCTTTATAATTATAACTGATTGTGATGATTATAAAAGGAATTGAATAATGAAAAAAATATTACTACGAAGAAAAAGATAAGAGATAAAAAACAAAAGGATATTTGAACAAAAGAATTTTATCAATATTTAAAAAACGCGATATGCAAGAAGACCTAACCTGATCTAAAAACAAAATATGAAATGTTATTATTCGCAGATATAAAGAATACCTGCCATCACTGTACTCGTAAAAAAAAATCTACGTATACAACCAGTCATCCGTGTCGATTCGAACCTTTCGTCCTACGACATGATTGAATGACCAGAGGAATAAAAAAGCATGCGACTCACCATTAGATGCGAAGAACATTGCCATCAAAATTCTGCATGGTCCATCAGAAAGTTATTATTCAAGTAGAAAAATATCTGTAACAAAATGTGGAACATTATAATTTAAAATAAAATTTATTAATAAAATTAGTATAAAAAAATTAAAATAAAGAAAGATAAAACTTTATCAGATTTGTATTAAAATAATGTAACTTATATTTTAATAAATTATAATGGTAATAGTAATTTAAATGTTAATATAAATATTTAAAAGTTAAAAAATGGAAATATTTAATAATTTTATTGCAACAGAAGAATAAAAGATAATTACCTTTTTCATGATGAATGATTATATTATTGTCTTATTGTCTTATTATGATTCTTGAATCACTGACTCTAATATATACCAGAAACGAATATTAAAAAAAAAATAATAAATAAAAGACTATTAACACTATTATAATTCGCGTACCAACATTGATATTAAATCGCGAAAAACTAATAAATTTAATTAAGAACTATTATATGCTCTAAAAAAATATTAAAAATACTATTACGAAACAAACACTGATTCTATTTCGATCGCATTGCACGCGATCGCAAATAAATTTTTTACACTAAACACTTATAAAAGAAATTTTTATAAAGTCCGTTAACATCTTTAATAAAAAATAAAATATTAAATGTATTTCTTTTTTCTTAAAAATTTAGCATTAATTATTAAAAAATTTTTAAATACATAAATACATGTATCAAATTCACCATTTGTTCAAGTCATTGATCCTTATGGCGTCCATATTGAAATTTTTCCCGCCTTTTCATCATTTTATCACTTCAACTGTCAACTAATAATCTGCACAAAGAAATCAAAATTTTCAAATAAATGTATAAAATATACTGAATTAATCAATTATAATAGTACAAAATAATAATCAAGCACACAATTCTATTTTAAAAAGTCATAATATAAGATATGTAATACTAACCTGTAACTCTAAAAGATCGATGAACGAAAAAAATAGAATAATTTAATCGCCAAAGAATTTTCAATTATAATAAAAAACACTAATTGACGCACAAATATTAAACACGTAATTGAATATTAACGTATATAATAACAAAATATAATTATAGAAGTAAAAAACTACGCAACAGATAAATCACACACCTCAAGAAATAACGCGTCTACACTCTACAACTATCGATAGTACAATAACAGCTCGCGCTACAATTTCGATTATCGAATTATTGAGAGAGGGGATATGCTCGACAGGTCGAAACACGCATCGAACGCGAACGAATGCGAACTAATAATTTCCCGAAAAAGGTTATATACATTAATATACAATTAATGTGTAAAAATATTTTCAATCTCGAGCATAATATAAACGAACGAAAGAAACGGATACACAAATAAAATATTTAAAAAAGATACGTGCATTCTGATATAATATAAAACATAATGTTTGATAAAATAAAATTAATCATATAGAAACTATCATATATTCGTTTTAATACGAATAAAAAATTTTATAAAAATTTATTTTAAATACATCTATTTTTTTTTAATAATGTAAAATGTAATGTTTGATGAAGTAAAATTAATCATATGAAATTCTATGAATATTATATATTCATTTTAATACGAATAAAAATTTAATAAAAATCTATTTTAAATATGTCTATTTTTGGGAGAAAAAAAATCTTACCTGATATATTAAGAAAATTTTATATAAATTGTCGTCATATAATATAATGCGCATAAATGTACATGTTATAAATTTTTTCGATCATGCCAACACTCACACGATAATCTGAACAAATGAAAATTGTAATAATGAGAAATAAATATTTAAATTACTAATAAAATAATAATAATATTAAAATAATAAAATGTTAAAATAATTTGATTTAAAATCTTAGTCGAAAAATCTTATAATACTTATATATAAGCTACCGATAACCTCAATAATCGAATACAAAATCGAAAACAAAAGTACAAAAAACTAATTAATTTTGTTATATAATAAATCATTAGATAAAGCTGATAATAATCTATAAATCAAGTAATAGAATAAAAGTAGAATTACTTATTGCGTAGTTGAAATTCACGAACATGACACAAGACACACTTTACCACGATGATTTTCGACTAAAGAATGAAACCACAAGTTACAGATTCGCCTAGGATGCTTCTAATTGGTTGAAACGTATACAATACCTTATTCATTTAAGCCGCGCGAAAATTAAAGTATTATATATAAATTATAAATTCTCATAACATTCAAATCCTAACATAAAAATCCATTTATTAAAAAATATAGTAAGAATTAATCATTAAAATCAATTTGACGTAAAAATTAAATAAATTACAATAAAATTAGGAATATAATTAAAAATTTTAAATAATATATATAATTAATATAGAAAAGAAATATGAAATATAACTAAATTAAAGAAAAATAACTATAACTATAACTAAAAGATAAAAAACTAAATTTAAAAATAGTTTTATTCAATATATAGAACTTAATTTTAGTCAAATATTCAAATATAGATAATTATAAAATTATTGTATAAAATTATTATGTAAAATGATTATAAATTATTATTAAAATTATTATTTTATTTCCTTAAAATTGATAAATCATTTTTATATTATTCCTAAAGATTGCGTAGTTAATTATTGAATTTTTATTACCATAATAGATTGTTTAATGCATAAATTAACAAAAAAAAATCTAAAAATTAACAAATTATTGATCATTATATTCAAAAAATCGATTTTGATACTTTCGGCAAAGAACGTATATACTCGTTAAATTTCGTAATAATTGTCGTGACCTTTTAAGAATATGAGACAGCTCGAGCGATGTCATTTCTTAACGAACTTAGCTGAGAGAAGGATCGATAGTATAACACTGACTAGATTCTTATAACATTTTTAATCATTTTTTAATAATTTTTTAATAACATTTAATATTATTTATACTTATATTTCTTAATTTATTTATTAATTTTTATTTTCATATAATTATTTTTTTCCTTTAATTTTTTATTTAATTATGCTTTTGTTTTTTAAATTTACTTTTTAATTTTTAGTTTCATTTATTTATTTCTTCATTTAATTTTTTGATTTTTAAATTATTTCTCAATTTTTAGATTCATTTAATTTTTCATTTATTTCTTAATTTATTTTTTAATTTTTTTTCATTTTTTGATTTTTAAATTATTTCTCAATTTTTAGATTCATTTAATTTTTCATTTATTTATTTCTTAATTTATTTTTTAATTTTTTTTCATTTATTTACATTTTTGTTTTTTAATTTATTTTTTAATTTTTATTTTTATTTAATCATTTCTTCATTTAATTCTTTATTGATTTATATTTTTATTTTTTAATTTATTTTTTAATTTTTATTTCCATGTATTTATATTTTTTGTTTTTTAATTTATTTCTTAATTTTAATTTTTTAATTTTTTTTAATTTTACTTAATTTCTATTTCTATTTATTTATTTATTCATTTATTCTTTTATTTATTTATATGTTTATTTATTCATTTCTTTATTCATTTATTTATTTATTTATGATTCTTAAATATTACATATAATAGTAGATAGTAGAGATAATAGACATTTCCTATATAGTAATATAATTGTACGAATGAAATGTTTGATAAGAAAAAGAAGGAAAAATATCAAAGGAATATTTTACTTCTTTTTCTATTCCCCTATTATATTATTAATACAGTTTCACTTTCAGCAACATTTTGTGACTGCGCGCAATGCAGTCGATAGAGTCAGTGTTTGTTTCGTAAAAGTTTTTTTAAATCCTTTAATGGATAACGCGAAATTAGAATCAGTGTTTATTCGCCGATTAATAATAACTTTAACGGTCGCGGTGATCTTTATCCTTTTAAATAATCGTTTCGTGTATAAATTAGAGTCAGTGCATCGTTCAAGAGGACGAAACAGATAACTATCTTTAAATTTTTATCCATATAAAATCATTTAGATTTTTAATTTTTAAATTTCCAGCCTTTATATTAAGATCTCAATTTTTATTACCACCAGAGTCCATTAACATTTCAATTTTTATTAACTTTATATTAGCCTAATAGACTTATAAGAGCAGGAAAAAAGCTCTTTCAGCCTCTTCTGGCTATCTTTTCTTTTTCAACGACTTATATATATTGAAACATTTATTAATGAAAATATTGTTTAAGAAGATACTTTTTAATTCTTATTAACATTGCTTAAAATCATTATAATTATGGAAAGAATATTAATTATATATTATTTATAATATATATTGTATCATTTATCAATTATTCTGTTACATATATTTTGTTATATTTTTTAATAGATGGGTCTCGATGCGTAGTCACCTCCTCGTCGGTGAGACCCGGTAATTGGCATCGCTTTTCAAATATTTTTTATTCAAAATTTTTTAATTTAAAAAATATAAGATATATCTCATCGATAATAATTTTGGCAAAGCAAAGAACTACGCACACCTGCAGTCTAGTTCAAATAGTAATTAAGTTAAAATTTTAATTAATTTCTTATAATCGATAAACTAGACTGCAGGCACCGGTAAAATCTGTACAAGGATATTTTCCATTTCATATTTACAAATTTCATATATTATCTCTTAATTTTATTTATTATTTATAATATAATTTAATAATTTAATAAATAAAACGAGAATATCCTTGGCACAGATTTTACTCGATTAACATTAGATTAATATTAAGTTAATTTTAAGTGCGTATTTTCCGTATCAAGATACTCTCTCTCTCTCTCTGACTTAAAGCGAAAAGTAAAATTTTCAATTCTTCTACTCTTTCGCTTATTCACTCTCCCCTTCGTTTCCATCGATCCATTCTTTATCTCGAATTTCTACTCGCATAGTTATCGTTTCTTCCTCGATTTATCTCTATTTCACGTTCTCTCCTCGCTTATTCCAATTCACGTGTCGCGCATCGGTGGCCAGGCGTCGCTGGGATGGGTGCTCTACTTCCGGTGGCCAGTCGAGGGTCCGCGCTTCGATCGATTGGTGCCATCGAGCACTCGGTCGGAGTCAGATCTCGTGGTGGAACGTTCTTGTAATTCGGCTCCGGTGGTCGGGGATCTAGTATCCTCTGCTCCTTCCTGTGTCGTTGGGAAGTGTTCAGCCATTAGATCGCCGTCGTAACCCTCGGCTGGTCACGACTGGCAAGTATCATCCGTCCAACGATGTAAGTCGTGATACTAGGTCGACAGTTTATTCAGGGGAGGATAGTTTTTTTAAGTTTCTTCTTCTTTTTCTATCGTGTTCTTCTTCGATTTTTCTGTGGGCTCGTTATTTTCCTTTCCAGTATTATTTTTAAATTAAATCGCGAATATTTTAAAGTTTTCTTTCTTCGCTTTGAGTTGGGACGAGAGTATTCTCGATACGGATTGTAGATTTTAAGATGGACTAGGTATTAAGATTTGGATTAAGTTAGTTTAAGTTTTCATCGATGGATGACGTGGGATTTTTTTATTGTAATTTATTTAGTATAAGCGATAAATTGCGAAAAATCATTGTAAAAACTTATTGTAAATAATTTGTATATTAATTTTTTTTTTATGTTTCAGATTTTTCTAACATATTTATAATTTTATATTAATTTTTTTTTTTTTTGTATTATTCATGTCTGTATTATCTGATTTAATTTATATTTACAGTTTGTTTACAATTCGTTTAATTTAATTTTTTTTTTATTTTCAGATTTTTATTTAACATTATAAATTTATTTCGATATTTTATGCTTGTATATTTTCTTTTTCTTTTTTTTTTTTCAGGTGGATCTCGACGTTAGTCACCTCCTCATGGTGAAACCAATTGAAATCGATCTTCATAAATTATTCTTCAAAAAATTTTCAATATTGTCCAGAGTTTAATTTTTCTAAAAATCGTTCTTAATCCTTTCTTATTTTTTTCCTCAATTTATCCTCATGTTTCTTCGTCATTTATTTCAAGTCACTGTGACCACGTGTCACGCAACAGTTGCAGGACTTGTTGGATGGGTGCTCTACTTTCGTGGCCAATCGATGGTGGCGCTTCCATCGATTGGTAGCTTCGAATATTCGATCGAAATCAGATCTCGTGATCGAATCTGGTGGTCGAAAATCTCTTTTCATTTCTGTATCTTCAGAACATAAGTCGTTTCTTCCTTCGTTTTCTCGACTGTTCACTAGTATCTTCTGTCCATCCACTCTCTTGAATCAACTGACGTAAGATATTGGGAGCGGCAGTTGATTGTTTTGCTTCTCGATTGATTCGTTCTTTTCATTTTTTTTTCTCTTTTTCCTTCTTCCTTGTTCTCTTCTGGATTTTATTTTTCTTCCACTGGA